AAAGTGACAGTAAAGACATTTATAATGTTACAAAAGATTCTGTTTCAAATAAACGCTGTTCTTTTGAACTTCCAATTCATCAAAGAATCCTGAGAAATAAAATGTATCAGTTTCCACCGAAATATGAACACTGCTAATAATCATAAATGTGTCTTGAGCATCAGATCCTCATATTAGAGTGATTTCTGAAGGATCATGTGACACTGAAGACTGGAGTAATGATGCTGGAAATCACAGGAATAAATTACACTTTACTGTATATTCACATAGAGAACAGATGATTTACATTATAATATTATTTCACTGTTTTTACTGTATTTTTTATCAGATAAACACAGCTTTGGTGAGCAGAAGAGACTCTTTCAGATATATTTTCTTTTTTAAAAAGTAACTTAAAAAAAAGATATATATATATATCTTACAGAACTCCAACTTTGAACTGAACATTCATTCTGATTCATCAAACATTGTGAACGTTACTTTTGAATGTTCTCTGAACGTTCTGAAACAATTAAAAAACGTTAGACGAACATCCAACTAAAATGTTTCAGAAAAACGCTCCGTGAACGATGCATAAATGATGTTTTTGTTCTAACGTTTTGAGAACATTATTAAAGACCCGAACGTTCTATTGACGTCACTGTAAGAGCGTTTGATCACAGCTCTGTTCATGTGTTCTTCTCCTCAGAGGCGACGGAGGAGGTTTCTCTGGACAGTCCCGAGCGTCAGCCGATCCTGTCCGACGGCCCGTCTCCCGCCATCACTCCGGTGACGCCCACCGTTACACTGGACCCGCGGGTGTCTGAGGCGTTCGCCCGCTCGCCGGACCAGGTGACGCGCAGTGACCCCACATGACCCCGCCGTGACTCCGCCATGACCCCGCCGTGACCCCACATGACCCCGCCGTGACTCCGCCATGACCCCGCCGTGACCCCACATGACCCCGCCGTGACTCTGCCATGACCCCGCCGTGACCCCACATGACCCCGCCCTGACCCGCCATGACCCCGCATGACCCCCCGTGACCCCACATGAGCTAGCCATGACCCAACTTTGACCCCACATGAGCTAGCCATGACCCCACCGTGACCCCACATGAGCTAGCCATGACCCCACTTTGACCCCACATGAGCTAGCCATGACCCCACCGTGACCCCACATGAGCTAGCCATGACCCCGCCATGACCCCACATGAGCTAGCCATGACCCCACCGTGACCCCACATGAGCTAGCCATGACCCCACTGTGACCCCACACGAGCTCGCCATGACCCCACCGTGACCCCACATGAGCTAGCCATGACCCCACTGTGACCCCACACGAGCTCGCCATGACCCCACCGTGACCCCACATGAGCTAGCCATGACCCCACCGTGACCCCACATGAGCTAGCCATGACCCCACCGTGACCCCACATGAGCTATCCATGACCCCACCGTGACCCCACATGAGCTAGCCATGACCCCACCGTGACCCCACATGAGCTAGCCATGACCCCACTTTGACCCCACATGAGCTAGCCATGACCCCACCGTGACCCCACATGAGCTAGCCATGACCCCGCCATGACCCCACATGAGCTAGCCATGACCCCACCGTGACCCCACATGAGCTAGCCATGACCCCACTGTGACCCCACACGAGCTCGCCATGACCCCACCGTGACCCCACATGAGCTAGCCATGACCCCACTGTGACCCCACACGAGCTCGCCATGACCCCACCGTGACCCCACATGAGCTAGCCATGACCCCCACCGTGACCCCACATGAGCTAGCCATGACCCCACCGTGACCCCACATGAGCTATCCATGACCCCACCGTGACCCCACATGAGCTAGCCATGACCCCACTGTGACCCCACACGAGCTCGCCATGACCCCACCGTGACCCCACATGAGCTAGCCATGACCCCACCGTGACCCCACATGAGCTAGCCATGACCCCACCGTGACCCCACATGAGCTATCCATGACCCCACCGTGACCCCACATGAGCTAGCCATGACCCCACCGTGACCCCACATGAGCTAGCCATGACCCCACTGTGACCCCACACGAGCTCGCCATGACCCCACCGTGACCCCACATGAGCTAGCCATGACCCCACTGTGACCCCACATGAGCTATCCATGACCCCACTGTGACCCCACATGAGCTATCCATGACCCCACTGTGACCCCACATGAGCTAGCCATGACCCCACTGTGACCCCACATGAGCTAGCCATGACCCCACCGTGACCCCACATGAGCTAGCCATGACCCCACCGTGACCCCACACGAGCTCGCCATGACCCCACCGTGACCCCACATGAGCTAGCCATGACCCCACTGTGACCCCACACGAGCTCACCATGACCCCACCGTGACCCCACATGAGCTAGCCATGACCCCACTGTGACCCCACACGAGCTCGCCATGACCCCACCGTGACCCCACATGAGCTAGCCATGACCCCACTGTGACCCCACATGAGCTAGCCATGACCCCACCGTGACCCCACATGAGCTATCCATGACCCCACCGTGACCCCACATGAGCTAGCCATGACCCCACCGTGACCCCACATGAGCTAGCCATGACCCCACTGTGACCCCACATGAGCTAGCCATGACCCCACTGTGACCCCACATGAGCTAGCCATGACCCCACCGTGACCCCACATGAGCTATCCATGACCCCACCGTGACCCCACATGAGCTAGCCATGACCCCACTGTGACCCCACATGAGCTAGCCATGACCCCACCGTGACCCCACATGAGCTAGCCATGACCCCACCGTGACCCCACACGAGCTCGCAATGACCCCACTATGACCCCACACGAGCTCGCCATGACCCCACTGTGACCCCACATGAGCTATCCATGACCCCACTGTGACCCCACATGAGCTATCCATGACCCCACTGTGACCCCACATGAGCTAGCCATGACCCCACTGTGACCCCACATGAGCTAGCCATGACCCCACCGTGACCCCACATGAGCTAGCCATGACCCCACCGTGACCCCACACGAGCTCGCCATGACCCCACCGTGACCCCACACAAGCTAGCCATGACCCCACTGTGACCCCACATGAGCTATCCATGACCCCACTGTGACCCCACATGAGCTAGCCATGACCCCACTGTGACCCCACATGAGCTAGCCATGACCCCACCGTGACCCCACATGAGCTAGCCATGACCCCACCGTGACCCCACATGAGCTAGCCATGACCCCACCGTGACCCCACATGAGCTAGCCATGACCCCACTGTGACCCCACATGAGCTAGCCATGACCCCGCCGTGACCCCACATGAGCTATCCATGACCCCACCGTGAACCCACATGAGCTAGCCATGACCCCACCGTGACCCCACATGAGCTCACCATGACCCTGCCGTGACCCCACATGAGCTCACCATGACCCCACATGAGCTAGCCATGACCCCACTGTGACCCCACATGAGCTAGCCATGACCCCACCGTGACCCCACATGAGCTAGCCATGACCCCACTCTGACCCCACACGAGCTCGCCATGACCCCACCGTGACCCCACATGAGCTAGCCATGACCCCACTTTGACCCCACATGAGCTAGCCATGACCCCACCGTGACCCCACATGAGCTAGCCATTACCCCGCCATGCCCCCACATGAGCTAGCCATGACCCCACTGTGACCCCACACGAGCTCGCCATGACCCCACTGTGACCCCACACGAGCTCGCCCCGCCATGACCCCACCGTGACCCCACATGAGCTAGCCATGACCCCACTTTGTTCCCACATGAGCTAGCCATGACCCCGCCGTGACCCCACATGAGCTATCCATGACCCCACCGTGAACCCACATGAGCTCACCATGACCCCACCGTGACCCCACATGACCCCGCCGTGACCCCACATGAGCTATCCATGACCCCACTGTGACCCCACCGTGACCCCACATGAGCTATCCATGACCCCACCGTGAACCCACATGAGCTCACCATGACCCCACCGTGACCCCACATGACCCCACCGTGACCCCACATGAGCTATCCATGACCCCACCGTGACCCCACATGAGCTAGCCATGACCCCACATGAGCTCACCATGACCCCGCCGTGACCCCACATGAGCGCACCATGACCCCGCCGTGACCCCACATGAGCTCACCATGACCCCACCGTGACCCCACATGAGCTATCCATGACCCCACTGTGACCCCTCCGTGACCCCACATGACCCCGCCGTGATCCCACATGAGCTAGCCATGACCCCACTGTGACCCCACATGAGCTCACCATGACCCCGCCGTGACCCCACATGAGCTCACCATGACCCCACCGTGACCCCACATGAGCTCACCATGACCCCGCCGTGACCCCACATGAGCTCACCATGACCCCACCGTGACCCCACATGAGCTCACCATGACCCCGCCGTGACCCCACATGAGCTCACCATGACCCTGCCGTGACCCCACATGAGCTCACCATGACCCCACCGTGACCCCACATGAGCTCACCATGACCCCGCCGTGACCCCACATGAGCTCACCATGACCCCACCGTGACCCCACATGAGCTCACCATGACCCCGCCGTGACCCCACATGAGCTCACCATGACCCCACCGTGACCCCACATGAGCTCACCATGACCCCACCGTGACCCCACATGAGCTCACCATGACCCTGCCGTGACCCCACATGAGCTCACCATGACCCCACCGTGACCCCACATGAGCTCACCATGACCCCACCGTGACCCCACATGACCCCACCGTGACCCCACACGAGCTAGCCATGACCCCACTGTGACCCCACATGAGCTATCCATGACCCCACTGTGACCCCACATGAGCTAGCCATGACCCCACTGTGACCCCACATGAGCTAGCCATGACCCCACCGTGACCCCACATGAGCTAGCCATGACCCCACCGTGACCCCACATGAGCTAGCCATGACCCCACCGTGACCCCACATGAGCTAGCCATGACCCCACTGTGACCCCACATGAGCTAGCCATGACCCCGCCGTGACCCCACATGAGCTATCCATGACCCCACCGTGAACCCACATGAGCTAGTCATGACCCCACCGTGACCCCACATGAGCTCACCATGACCCTGCCGTGACCCCACATGAGCTCACCATGACCCCACCGTGACCCCACATGAGCTCACCACGACCCCGCCGTGACCCCGCAGGAGCTCGTCTGATCTCACCACTGTCTCACACAGTCTCTTCTGCTCTAGGATGAAGATGAAGAGGAGAACAGGGACACGTTTGACGTCCAGATATCGGTGTCGGACCCGGAGAAAGTTGGTAAGGAGCTTTCATGATGTTTGCGCTTCAGCGTTCCTTCAATAGACCTGGAAAATAAATCAAACTCTGTCATGAATGTAAAACTACAGTCTTCATTTATATACACTGAGGAAAACTGGAGCCTTAAACATGTTAATATTCAATCTTCAAATGTTTTGTTTTATATGCACTCTAAAAAACACTGGGTTAAAAACAACCCAATATGGCTGGGTAAATATAGGACAGAACACATGTTGGGCTCATTCAACCCAGCAAATTGGGTTGTTTATTTAACCCAGCAAATTGGGTTGATTCATTTTTACTATAGTACTAGTGCTTTTTTTTAATTCATACATTAATGAATGTTTACAGATTAACTTAAATCCTCTAAACTTAAAAAATCCTCCACACCACCACTGGTTTGCATGATAATTCCTTTATTTTTTATCATATTTTAACAGTATATTTTAATATATATTGGATACATTAAAGCTCATTTAACAAATATTAGAAGTAGAAATTAAACATTTAGAAGTAATTCAAGTGAATTACATAAAAACTACCCAAATACTGTCGTCTGACCCAGGAGCTGGGTAACATAGAAACTACACAAACACTGAGAAAATAACCCAAAAAATTGACCCAAAAGACTCAACTCAGGATTTAAATAGAAAAAATAACCCAAGATTGTTTAGAGTGTGTGCAAATATACAGTCACATTATTCAGACACCAGATATGATTTTTGATATTGTTTAACTAGTGTGATCAGGGGCCTCATTTATAAACGTTGCGTTTAAATGGCGATACTGCCTCTCATAAATAACACGAAGACTTCACAAAGCAAGTCTTACAATTTACAGCCTACACGAACACCCGTTTGATCGATCTGCAACAGAAATGCAAATTAACACATATTTGCAAAAAGAAAAGTGAAATATGTTCTGCAATAATATTGGCATGTTATACAATTCATCCTCATAAATAAGATGGTAAACAGAACGAAATAATGTACAAAACTGATATTCTCGCCAATGTGTCCGTCTGGCGGAGCAGATATAGCTAGATAATTAGGGAGAGATAGATAGATAAATAGATAGATGTATTATTTGTCCACTGGGAAAGTTGTTTTCATAGTAAAAATGTCTTTATCAGCTACGGAATGGTATTAATGCAGATATTTCATGCATATGCCTTTAGTTTGTTTTATTTTTGATAAAATAATGAGGTATGTCTCAACCATTCACAAAGCTGCAAGAAATTACATTTGCGCTGAACTATTTCCCATTTCCAAGTAGATTATAACCGACATCTGTAGCTTGTCATTTCTTTTTTATCTCGGCCACAGTCCGAGGTTGTGAGGCTACAGCATTTACGGCGTCTGCAACCTTTTGCCTCTCATTAGTAATGCCCACACTGTGCCCTCCAAACAACATTATTCTCCTCTTTTCCACCTCGCCAACGATAACTTCTACTTCACTTTGAGTGAAGTTACGTTTTTTTGATTTCCTCTCTATGTTTGCCATGATTTCGCAATCGATGAATATTAACTTATGGGCGTTTCACGGACTATTTCTGGGCAACTATGGGCGTGACATGAAGCCGCAAAAGCTGCGCTACATTTAGAATTGATTGTGATTTATTAAGGGAAAAATGCGTAGGATGTGCGTGCGCACGGTTTTATAAATCCGAATATTTCTGTGCGTACGCACGTCCTATGTTTCATCCGTACGCCACTTCTGACGCAAATCCTACGCAAAGTTTTATAAATGAGGCCCCTGGACACTATAGTTCATTTCTGTTAGTGTGGAGAGCAGAATACATTAAAGCTCATTTGACAAATATTAGAAGTAAAAATTAAACATTTAGAAGTAATTCAAGTGAATTACATAAAAACTACCCAATTATTGGGTTGTTACGTCTGACCCAGGAGCTGGGTAACATAGAAACTACACAGACACTGAGAAAATAACCCAAAACATTGACCCAAAAGACTCAACTCAGGATTTGAATAGAAAAAATAACCCAAGATTGTTTAGAGTGTGTGCTAATATACAGTCACACCTAAAATTATTCAGACACCAGATATCATTTTTGATAATGTTCCACTAGTGTGATCAGGACACTATAGTTCATTTCTGTAAGTGAGGAGAGCAGAATAAAGTAAACTGACATATTACACCCAAATATTCTTCATCCAGTGACTACCAGTAACAATGATTCCTCCACTTTGAGCTGATCATGTTTTGCTGAAGTGTGTTTTCTGTAATTGCTAATGCTCTTTTTACACACACACTGAACAACATGAAGCATTGCTTGGTCACTGGTTGAGCTAAACTGGTATTATCTAATTGTGGAGTTCAATTTAACAGCTGACAGATATTCAACATAATTCATGTGTGAGAGTCTAACAGAAGGACGGACAAAACCAGTCAAATATCCACTGAGTTCTGCTCAGATTTTATTACCAACTATAGCGAATAAACTGATAATGTGAGAAATGTTGAATATAATATGTTTGTTTTCCAGGTGACGGCATGAACGCGTACATGGTGTATAAAGTGTCGACGAAGGTGAGCAAGGCCTCTGGATCCTCACCTGAGATGTTCTGGATCTGCGGTGACTCTGAATCCTGTGTGTGTGTGTGTGTGTGTGTGTGTGTGTGTGTGTGTGTGTGTGTGTAGACCAGCCTGTCCATATTCAGCAGAGACCAGGTGTCCGTCAAGAGGCGCTTCAGTGATTTTCTGGGTTTGCACAGTAAATTAGCCTCCAAGTACATGCACATCGGCTACATCGTGCCTCCGGCTCCAGAGAAGAGCATTGTGGGTAAGTTCTGCCCCTTCACTGATGATCACAGAAGCGTCTGATTGGTTCACATTCATGTGTGTGTTTCAGGGATGACGAAGGTCAAAGTGGGAAAGGAGGACACGTCATCGGTGGAGTTTGTGGAGAAAAGGAGATCTGCGCTGGAAAGGTATTTCAGAGAACGAATACATAAACATTCAATAACATTTTAGAAGAATATTTTAGTGAATTAAATGCATTAAAAAAAGAATACAAATTAATACAAATAAATCTGCAATAGAAGATTTAATACATAAATCTTAAAATAAATATTTATATATTTTTTTAATTAATAATAGTTAATTAAAATAAAAAATGAAATAACTAAAATAGATAAATTATAAAATAAATGTAAATGTATTAAAATTAATTATATTAAATCTGCTTTGGAAAGGTGTATCAAAGATATAATTAATATATTATTAAGAAATAAATAAAATAATATTTTAAATATTTTAATAGAATATTCTTAATTGATATTATAAATATTATAAATGTATTTTTTATGAATGTATATATTGAAATATGTTATAAATGTAAAAATTAAACTGATTTAATTAATACATATAAATTAATATATAAATATTATACATTTACAAATTATTATAGATATATATTAACATTTATTATGAATTAAAAAATCAATTAAAATTAATCAAATAAATCTGCTTTAGAGAGGTATTTCAAAGAATTAATAAATACATATTTTAATAATTATTTATAAAAATAATAATAATAATTTACAAAATTTAACTAACTAAACTAAGTATATAATTATTATTACTACTAATAAAATAATTAATTAATACATAAATATTAAAATATTTTATTAATAATACTAATAATTAAAAATATTAAAATTAAATTAAGAATGAATAAATAAATATTTTAATTACATATTTGTAATAAATATTAATAATAATAAACTCAAATAAATGATGTTTTTAATGAATAATAATAGGTTAAGTGTTAGAATACCTCAGGAGTCACGTGTTCAGTGTCATTAGTTCACTGAAGAGTGTGTGCCGTCATTAGTTCACTGAAGAGTGTGTGCCGTCATTAGTTCACTGAAGAGTGTGTGCCGTCATTAGTTCACAGAAGAGTGTGTGCCGTCATTAGTTCACTGAAGAGTGTGTGCCGTCATTAGTTCACTGAAGAGTGTGTGCCGTCATTAGTTCACTGAAGAGTGTGTGCCGTCATTAGTTCACTGAAGAGTGTGTGCCGTCATTAGTTCACAGAAGAGTGTGTGCCGTCATTAGTTCACTGAAGAGTGTGTGCCGTCATTAGTTCACTGAAGAGTGTGTGTCGTCATTAGTTCACAGAAGAGTGTGTGTCGTCATTAGTTCACTGAAGAGTGTGTGCCGTCATTAGTTCACAGAAGAGTGTGTGCCGTCATTAGTTCACTGAAGAGTGTGTGCCGTCATTAGTTCACTGAAGAGTGTGTGTCGTCATTAGTTCACAGAAGAGTGTGTGCCGTCATTAGTTCACAGAAGAGTGTGTGCCGTCATTAGTTCACTGAAGAGTGTGTGTCGTCATTAGTTCACTGAAGAGTGTGTGCCGTCATTAGTTCACTGAAGAGTGTGTGCCGTCATTAGTTCACTGAAGAGTGTGTGCCGTCATTAGTTCACTGAAGAGTGTGTGTCGTCATTAGTTCACTGAAGAGTGTGTGCCGTCATTAGTTCACTGAAGAGTGTGTGCCGTCATTAGTTCACTGAAGAGTGTGTGCCGTCATTAGTTCACTGAAGAGTGTGTGCCGTCATTAGTTCACTGAAGAGTGTGTGTCGTCATTAGTTCACTGAAGAGTGTGTGCCGTCATTAGTTCACTGAAGAGTGTGTGCCGTCATTAGTTCACTGAAGAGTGTGTGCCGTCATTA